CTATTTCTTTTTTTTTAATTAAGAAACTATATTTGCAATACATTTTTTTTTTTCGAAATGGAAGACGACGTTCAAATTTCCCTGAAATGAATGATAACTTTTGCTTATTAGTGAAAACAAACTCTTTATTATGATGATAATATAATCATGAACTTGACACTTCGTTCACGTTACTTTGTTCTAGTTAGTATAATATTGTTTATTTTAGTCATAGGTTTAATGATGAATCATGCTTTGGGAAACTCGAGAAAGCATGTTGATATGTTTTTAATACAAAATGAAATAATGATTATCTTAAGAAATTGAATGAAAATGAGTTTTCCCAATAACATCCATAATTAATAAGTAATAATTAACTCTAGAACTATACTGATGGTATACTAAAACAAATAAAATAGGAAATTCATGATTTTTGAAAGAGGTAGACAGCGGATCCCAGCATAGGTTAAACATTTATTGAATTATATATAATAGTTTTCACTTATTGTGCGAAACACTTCAAGTTATTCGTATGTTAATATATAGGCTTATGTTAGGACTACTTAGCCCATTGTGAATAGTTATCTACTGGAAATATTCTCTTTTTCACATGTTTCAACGAAACCACACAAAACAATGCACCCACACTGAGCACGGGAAAACAGCACGCATAATCGAATCAGACACCCAGGGGGGCGCAGCCACGCAGTCAAATGGCCAAACATGGACAAACCAAGGACCGTTTGACTATTCAACATGATTCGAAGGTAGCTGCTGGGTAGCCCAAGAACGGAGAGGAGAAACGTAGGAGTGCCACGAGTTGCCACAAGTTGTGAATAGCCTGCCCAACCTCTCATATGACGGGAATTCGTCGTTGCCTCCTATGGACAGTCAACTAGCTTCATTGAGACGACTTCGAGACGAATGGACCAAGATGTTTTGCGGTCATCACAGCAACTGCCAACAGCCAGCATCTATTCTGGCTCAGCTGTTACCTACCTTGAAGAAATCTTTTATCCCGAAAGATTTCACCCTTATACCCAGAACGAGGATACCTTTCGAGCCCAAAAAGGATCCCGCCAAAATTCCCACGACGATTGAAGGATGCCCATCAGTCGTCATTCGCTACCCCAAGAAAACAGGAGTTCCCTTCGTTCAGCTGCCAACTACCTCGAAACACAATCTAGGAAATCTTAAATCCCGAAAGATTTCATCCCAATGCCCAGGACAAGGATACCTTCGAGCCCAAAAGGATCCTGCCGAAATCCCCATGACGATTGGAGGATGCCATGCCCAATCGTCATTCCCTACCCCCAAGCTGCCAGAAGTCCCACCGAGAAGAGTCTGATTGAAATGCTTCAGTTGAATAGCCAGTGCCGGACTAAGTAAAGGTGTGAGTGTGCATTGTAGACACTGAACTTTTGAGTGTGTGACCTCAATTTTCAAGATATATTGTTTTTTTTGTCATTTTTGAATCTTTGGTATATGTTCTCCTCGATATTTTTAGTTAGGTGATAATTTAAAAACTGGGGTCCAGTTTTCTCGGAGAGAGGGGTCATGTCACGAGTAGAACATACGGTATATCAGTAATTTCTAACCATGAGGGTTTTATAAACATAAAGTAAATCAAATCATCCGTTGACATTGAATTATAAAAACTGACCAAGGAACTCTCATGAGAAACGTGCATTTCTAATAAAATGATGTATATAAATATTGGATCTGAGGGTTCCGAAGTTAGTCTGGTCTGGGGCTACTCTTGACTTGACAAGAGCTCGTCGTAATGGTCGTTATAATGTAAGTTGTTATTAGGTCTTTATATTCATTGTTGTTTATTCATATTTGTCATCACTTCACCCATAATGTTTCATGCTATTATAAATATTGTTATGTTTGAATGTCGTCTCGTACTTTCAGTTACCCCTAAACTATTAGTGCCTATTTGAATATTACCTCTCGCAAAATATTAAGCCAAGCATTACCCCTTTTCAAATCGATATAGTGGAAACACAACCCTAATGTCTTGACATGGTGGAAACAACCCTTTAACTCTTTTGTTGTGACATGATGAACTAACCACCCTTTTATATCGTGTTATTAACTAATATTAATTCATGATGGATACTCAACTCTTTTGTTGTGACACTATCAATATTCCATATGATCACATGATCAAAAAGTCAGTACCCTACCGAAATCAACATCGTGGTTGTTTATTATTGAATTGATTGAATGAGGAATTATTGATGATTGACTTCCATTTAATGATTTTTTGTAGCCTGTGACATTTATATTTCGTATTAGTGAAGGTAACTGAAAGACCTAGCGCCCATTTAATATACTCTGCCATCTCCTCTGAAACAGTATCTTGAAAATTCGAACCTTCGTGTAAATTTTGAGGTTACTAATCTATTCTTGCAAGGGTGCTACTTTTCTTTGGAATGCTATGTATATGGAAGTATATGTCACCAATAACTCAACGTGTGTTGGGGAAAACTAATCTGCTTATCTCAATATCATCAATTTCTATACATCAGATAATTCTCAATTTAAGATTCTTTCGTGAATCAACATCTTGAAATAGTTTCAAACTCATTACTTTAGTTCAGAAAGGGTCGAAGTCCGAAGTGATTATGATAGAACAGTCGTATTCAATAAAAAAGTGTACAAGTACTAGAAAGAGAGGATTTCGGGATCCTAGTTCTAGTTGTGTAAAACTGGCTCAGCCAATGCTTTGTGTTTTTGAGAATTCATGACAACTTTACTATCAACATTTGGTAAACAATCATTCCCGATAGCCCGTTTTATGCAGAATAGGATGACGTTAATTTCTCTCTGTAATATTGGTATTGGTATTGGTAGGTTGGATGGTGACAGATGCGCTGCGACCTAATTAGCTCTATTGTGCCCCATCTGCTCCGGCTATATCAAGGATTTCTTGTTCATAGCAGCCCCTCGAAATTCAATTCCTACAAGAATTTGAGGATTTTGAGGGAGTCTAGCTGTGGTATTTCTTCCACAGTCAGCTGGTGTGTTCCCAGTATATTCAATCTTTTGTGATGTACAGCGTCACACTCCATCAGTATGTGATGGGTGTCTGGTTCTTGCTCACAGAATCTGCAGGTGCCGTCCTCCTGTAAGCCTAGCTTTCTTAGGTGTTCTTTGAGTCTGCAATGCCCCGTTAGATATCCCGTTATTGCTTTTAGACTTCCTTTGCTGAGGTTTGTGAGTGTCTTAGATCTTTCTCGGTTGAAATTTCAAAGGAGATCTTTAGCTTGCCGTAGTCCTGGAAGTCTTCTCCATTGTCTGGCTCTCCAGACTCCTTCCGTCTTCTCAAGTTCTCTTCGGAAATAGGAATTTCCAAGGCCGCAGAATGGCTCTGGTCCGATCAGTGGCGTTGAAGCCCCTTGTCGTGCCAGAGTGTCTGCTTGTTCATTTTCCTCCACTCCAATATGCCCTGGCACCCAGAGGAGGATCACTTCATTGTTGCTGCCTAGCTCATTCAATTTGCTTAGGCATTCTCATACCATCTTCGAGTTGATGTGAGGAGAGCTCAACGCTTTGATGGCTGCTTGGCTATCAGATAAAATCGCGATGTCCTTCTTCCGGTATTTACTGTCTAGGTTGAACTGGATGCATCTTCCTATGGCGTGTATTTCCGCTTGAAAAATGCTGGGGAATTGTCCCATGGATTCGAAGTATTTGGTACGAGGCCCAAAGACTCCTGCTCCAGTTCCCCTGGGTACTTTAGACCCGTTCGTATACCAAGTAATGGTTTTTTTTTCAGTGATTCGAAGGATTCTATGCTCCATTCGCGCTTGTTGCCCAGCTCCACTCGAAAGTTCTTCTCAAAACTGAACTTCCTAATGATTTGGTCTGTTGGAAGATCGGCGAGGTGTGCGATCTCAGTGGGGGGTGAGCCCCTTGCACTGTGCGTTTTCCCTCTTAGTCCGACCTTGGCTAACCTGAGATGTGCTCCATAGGCAGTTCTCCTCACCACGATGTCGTGTAATATACTCGTACGCATTTTTTTTTAATGCGATTGTACCTATATTACAGATAGATCTTCAAATAGTAAAGGAATAATGCGACTGGGCTATAAGATACATGAGTAATGCTAAATTTCGTGACCACTGCAAGCCCTTATTCCAAGCGCAAAAAATCCTCACCTTACCATATATTTTCATAATAGAAACAGTATGTTTGAAACATAAAAAATATTCGCTAACCGTAAAAGCTAATGCACTTCATCAGACTAGACAAGCATCCAACTTGCCTCTACCTAAAACCATTTCCAATCTCACAAAGCATTCGATAATCTACAACGGTAAGAAGATGTATAACCATTTACCTCTGACCTTGAGAACTACACCTCAACTCAATAAATTCAGGAAAGCAGTAAAGGAACATCTAATAAGTAAATCATATTATAATCTTCAGGAATTTTTTGATGATAGGTCTACTAACTGAGAGTACGAGGTAACTCCCGATTCTAGTCTTATACTTTTATTATCATATATGCATGTTTACCTTGTTCTGTTCACGCATACATTGTTCTGTTATTATTTAATTCACCTGAGTGTTATTTCGTTCACTTATACATTGTTATTGTTTTCTACTATGTTATTGTGACATATCTCATTATTTATTTATTTATTTTGAGTGTGAAAACGAAATTCATAATATATTTTATATCATGGTTTCTTCAAGTATAGGTATACTATGTATTTCCTCACTTTGTCAATAAGAAATTATTCTTGGACAATAAAGTATATTATTGATTGATTGATTGATGTGATTCGTCGTCTGACATTAGGTAAAGTTCTGAATGATAATCGATACGACACTTGTTGTTGTGTTGTGAACGAATGAAGACTAACAAAAGGAAACGTGTTCGAATGTCATAATGAAAATAAGGAACGACAAATGAGATCATAGTATGTTGAATACCGCAAAAAACAGGAATAATCTATTTTTCCCTCATCAAGATGAACATTATATTTGATTTTTTTTAACTTCAGATACATCGTTCTCACGAGTAAGCATCATGAAGGATATACCCTCTGGCCTTCAAAATATTCATATAGTTGGAATTCCGTAGATATCGGACCAAGAAGAGATATTGTCGGTGAGTACCCTCTTGAGAAATGAAAAATCTTTTATAGAGAAGAATAATGATATTCTCAATTTATCAATCTTGATGAATGCAGTTACCACCAAATGGCCACACGTGCGTTTATTCAACGTATTATCAACGTAGAACAAGTTGATAGACGTTCATGGTTGAGGAATTCAACGTTGAAATATGGTTGGAGTATTCAAAGTTGGATCTGATCGGTTTATTAACGTATTAAAAATTATATGTCATGATGATCTATTGAAATTATGCATAAATAAAACATTTTTTCGAAACGTTAGTTAGACGTTCGTAATGAACGTTTCTTCAACGCGAATCTGTCACCATTTTCTGATCGAGAGTGAAAGAAGAACGCGAATGTAACGTTGAACTATATTCTATATCATAGATTAACTGTTCAAGGAAAACTAACGTTTGTAACAAACGTTTGTTTAACTCTTGGAATGAAGTTGAATCTGAACGTCTCATGAACGTCTTGAAGACCTGTTGAATTTTTGCATTCATGAAACTTTTCTCCGAGTCGTTAGACGTTCGAAAATAACGTTCCTTCAATGCGAATCTGTCACAATTTTTTAACGGATTGTGAAGGAAGGACACGAATGAAACGTTTTTCAACAACGTTATTCAACTGTTATTCTTCAACGTGTAATGTGAGTTGTCGTTAAACTATATTCTATATCATAGTTGAACTGTTCAAGGAAGACTAACGTTTGTCCCAAACGTTTGTGGAACTCTTGGAATGGAGTTGGATCTGAACGTTCCATAAACGAATTGAAAACAATATGTCCTGACGATCTGTTGACATTATGCATTTATAAAACGTTTTTCTGGAACGTTAGTTAGACGTTCGAAATAAACATTTCTGTGTCGCGACTCTGTCAACATTTTCTGAACGAGAGTGGAAGAAGAATGTGAATGAAACGTTTTTCAACAACGTTTTTCATCTGTTATACGTCAACGTGTAATATGAGTTGTCGTTAAACTTTATTCTATATCATAGTTGAACTGTTCAAGGAAAACTAACGTTTGTACCAAACGTTTCTCAGAATCTTGGAATGAAGTTGAAACTAAACGTTTCATGAACGTCTTGAAGACGATATGTCCTGAAGATCTGTTGAAATTATGCATTCATGAAACGTATCTCCGAAACATTGGTTAGACGTTCGAAATAAACGTTTCTTCAACTCAAATCTGTTATCATTTTCTGACCGAGTGTGGAAGAAGAACGCGAATGGAACGTTTTTCAACAACGTTTTTCAACAACGTTTTCCAACTGTTATTCGTCAACGTGTATTGCGAGTTGTCGTGAAACTATATTCTTTACTATAGTTGAACTGTTCAAGGAAAACTAAAGTTTGTCCTAAACGTTTGTTGAACTATTGGAATAAATTTGAATCTAAACATTTCATAAACGCATTGAAAATAATATGTCCTGACGATCTGTTGAAATTATGCATTTATGAAACAATTTTATGAAACGCTACTTAGACGTTCAAAATAAACACTTCTGTATCGCGACTATGTCAACATTTTTTGAGCGAGAGTGGAAGAAGAATGTGAATGAAACGTTTTTCAACAACGTTTTTCATCTGTTATACGTCAACGTGTAATATAAGTTGTCGTTAAACTATATTCTATATCATAGATGAACAGTTCAAGGAAAACTAACGTTTGTACCAAACGTTTGTTAGAATCTTGGAATAAGGTTGAAACTAAACGTTTCATGAACGTCTTGGAGACGATATATCCTGAAGATCTAATGAAATTTTGCATTCATGAAACGCATCTCCGAAACGTTAGTTGGACGATCGAAATAAACGTTTCTTTAACTCAAATCTGTTATCATTTTCTGACCGAGTGTGGAAGAAGAACGCGAATGATACGTTTTTCAACAACGTTTTCCAACTCTTATTCGTCAACGTGTAATGCAAGTTGTCGTAAAACTATTATTCTATATCATGGAAGGAAAACTAACGTTTGTCCCAAACTTTTGTTGTACTTTTGAAATGGAGTTGAATCTGAACATTTCATAATTGTATCGAAAACAATATGTCTCGATATGTTGAACTGTTAAAAAAAAACTGACGTTTTTAGCAAACTTTTGTTAAATCATTGAAATGATGTTAAATCTAAACGTTTCATGAACGTACTGAAAACAATATGTCCTGACGATTTGTTGAAATTATGCATTCATGAAACGTTTTTTCAAAACGTTAGACGTTCGAAATGAACGTTTCTTCAACGTGGATCTGTCACAATTTTTTTGACGGAGTGTGGAAAAAAAAACGCGAATTAAACGTTCTTCAACAACGTTTTCCAACTTGTATTCGTCAACGTGTGATGTGAGTTATCCTTAAACTATATTCTATATCATAGTTGACCTGTTCGAGGAAAACTAACGTTCGTCCCAAACGTTTGTAGCACTCTCGGAATGGAGTTGGATCCAAACGTTTCAAAAGCGTATTGAAAACAATATTTCTTGACGATCTGTTGAAATTATGCATTTATAAAACGTTTTTCCGAAACGTTAGTTAGACGTTCGAAATGAACATTCCTGTATCGCGAATCTGTCAATATTTTCCGACCGAGAGTAGAAGAAGAATTTGAATGAAACATTTTTCAACAACGTTTTTCATCTGTTATTCGTCAACGTGTAATATGAGCTGTCGTTAAACTATAATCTTCATCATAGTTGAACTGTTCAAGAAAAACCGTTTGTACCAAATGTTTGTTGAACTCTTGGAATGAATTCGAATCTACACGTTTTATGAACGTCTTGAAGACGATATGTCCTGAAGATCTGTTGGAATCATGCATTCATGAAACGTTTCTCCGGAACATTAGTTAGGCGTTCGAATTGAACGTTTCTTTAACGCAAATCTCTTAACATTTCCTAACCGAGTGTGAAAGAAGAACGCGAATGAAACGTTTTTCAACAACCTTTCTCAACTGTTATTCGTCAAAATGTGAGTTGTCGTTGAACTATATTCTATATTATAGTTGAACTGGTCAAGGAAAACTAACGTTTGTTGAACTCTTGGAATGGAGTTGAATCTAAACGTTTGATAAATGTAATGAAAACAATATGTCCTGACGATCTGTTGAAATCATGCATTCATAAAACGTTTTTTCGGAACGTTAGTTGGACGTTCGAAATGAACATTTTTGTCGCGTTCGCGCGATCGCGAATCTGTCAACATTTTCTGACCGACAGTGGAAGAAGAACGTAAATGAAACGTTCTTCAACTGTTATTCGTCAACGTGTAATAAAAGTTGTCGTTAAACTATATTCTATATCATCCGTCATTTGAAAACTACTCTTCATCGATCCGGCAAAGTCCTCACGGTGAACTAACGTTCATCCAAAACGTTTATTGAACTCTTGAAATGAAAGCTACCTGAACGCCTACTTGCAAGTATCTGAACGGTTGGTGAAAAAAGCGTGTTATATATGTTTTCTAACAACGTAAGATAATCGTCATCAGACAACGTATATTCATTCCATGTACATCTCACCGACGCTCACACCAAGAGTTCTGGTACAAATATGAGTAGTCGAGCAAATTTGAATAGGGATACGTGAAGATAGGTACGTCACTGAGAAAGAAGTGGAACGGAAAGAAAATGCATGGACTCATATCAGGTTAGTAAGTTATAATGAAAATAATTGCAATAATTATGAGAATGATAATGAATTCATTGTGGACACAAAAATAAAAAGAAGTAATCTAGCTGAAACGTTTGAAAAACGTTCGGAAAACCGAAATTCGACGATTGAAAATTGATCCGGAATAAACGTTGGAAAATTTTTGAAACGTTTATGTCACGTTGATACTCAAGTTGAAAAACGTTCTCAAAATAAGTATATTTCTAGTAGGTAATTTGGTTTGTGAAAAAAAAACGTTTTATCGTGCGACATTCTTTCGTTGAATCAACGTTTGAGAAATACCCCTTATAAACGTTCGCTTTCAAACCATTCAGCATCGTTTTTTCAACGTCATTGTGCTCATTGGGCATGTTCACGTATTAAAATTCATTTCAATATCATTCAAATTAATGTTCGAAGAAAAAAGATAGTCGTGATCGAATACTTTTGGAGAATAGTAACCTCTTTACTGGAACCTGCCCATCAGTAGATTCTGTCGTTTTTTTTCTTTAAATTACAGATAGATCCCCCTCAAAATCTTTCAGTTATCTGAAATTCACTTCAAACGTTTGTATCGATACAATTCCTTTCTTCCATCCTTCTCCCAAAATCCAAATTGACTCCGATGAATCCCTCTATGCCACTATTTTATGGTTATCAAAGATTCACAAAACTAACACCTTCATGAAATCTGCAGTTTTTATTGTGATTCTTTCTCTTCCAAATCATCTCCTTGGCTGAATTCTTTGATTAGAGATTCAACTGATTTCCACGACTCCCTTTCAATAAAAAACTCGTTCGATCTGATCAATGGAATTAAAGACTTCAACATACCCTCCAATCCAATTTTGTTTGCCTTTGATGTAGTCTTCATATTTCGTAGTATCTCCCCTGAATATTGTATACTACTAGTCAATCATTCATTGTTCAAATATACAGTCTATCGATGCATTGAAAATGTTTTCCGTTCTTGATATATTGTTGAAACGAAATTTATTCCAATTGAACACTTCCCTTAAATCTCTGTACTGGCTCTGGGTAGGAACTTTTTGCCTCTCCTAGCCAAGAATTTTTGTTCAAAACCTCGGAAATAAATCACCCTTCCTCTCTATAAGGAAATATCTGCATTTGGTATCAATATAAAGACGATTGTTCGCTTTTATCTATTCTTTTTGATTTTTCGAACACTCTCCATCCAGCTATTACGTTTACAATGGGAATTGCTCAAAATAATCGTCTCCCTTATTTAGACAATCTCATCAACAGAAATGATGGAATATTCAGTATACCGTGAACCCACACCATACTGATACAGCTATACCCTTCACATCGTGTCACCCTTTTTCCCATAAGGCTGCTATTTTCAATTCCATATTCCACATACTTATCAATTCATTTTTTAATCAAAAGAATTTCAATTCAGAACTCAACATAATTGAACAAATGGGCCACAATAAAGGTTTTCCTCTACATATCATCAACGGAATTGATAAAAGACATCAATCTAGAGCTGTTAATCGTATAGCTTATTACCAATCAATTTCAATTCAATTCAATTCAATTAACTTTATTGCTTTTAAAAACAGACAGTTTTACAGCAAGGGTTTGGTTATCAAGTATGTTTGGCACTAATGTTTATATATATATCAAGAGAGCATTACAACTATACCTAACATATTATTATCTAATTTATAGCGACTAAGAAAAGCAAACAAAATTATAACAGTGACCTGTACTTAATAATAGAGCATTATTCATTTAAAATGAAGGATCGTAGCTTGAGGACATTCCAAATATAGCGAGCAATCCTATTAGCTGATTCATTTGACAAGTTTTCAAGTGCGTAGAACAGAGAATCAGGGCTAGATAAACAATCTGAATCCAAGGGTTTCATTGAACAATAGATTGGGCAATCAAACATGATGTGGTTGATTGATTCAAGTTGGTTTTGGTTGCATACTGTACATTTTTCAGTTGGATTAAGAAAGACCGTTACAATTCATGAAATCTAATATCTTACGACCCCGAGTATTCAGGATGTCGTCGCTGCTACGTCTTTCATGGTACAAGTTTGTATTCTCGAATAATTCAGTTGGAGTCGAATAATTGTCAGAAACTCTAGAATTGAAATCTCCGCCGATTATTATTGGTGAATCATATTGTTCGATAATTTCGCTTGAAGAGTATTGAAATAATTCTAACAAGTGAATGATATCTAGACTAGGTTTAAAATAAATATTATCTAAAATGAATTTGCAACCAGAATGACTAATCAAACAAAAAATCCACCAAGAAGTGTAATCAAAGATTGTTAATGAAAGTTGTTCATTGTAAAAAATTGCTAACCCGTCATTAGCTCTTCCGGATGATTTTTTTCTTATGGCGTTTGAGCTTACAACTTTAAAAGCTGGCAGATGAGCTGATGGAACTAATTGATTAGTCATCCAGGTTTCAGATAGGCACAGAATATGGAAGTTATTATGGTCACTAGCAAAGTCCTGTAGGTTTGAAAGTCCGTGGCAGTTCCAGAATGTGATATTCATGGGTTGCTATTGTTTGCTTGATTGTCCGGATTTAGGAATTTTTGTTCCAGATTTACGCCTAGGGGAAAAAATTTCGTCACGACCTCTCTTGGTGGCTGTCATAGTTTCAGATGGAGAAGTAACAATTTTAGGTATTCTGTTCACGTATTTAATTGTAAGGTTATTTTCAACTTGCGACCTTAGTTTCAGTTCTTCACGTAGGTTTTTGAGGTGTTGAAGTTGATTCGGTGTCTTATCGGATTTTATCGTGATTGAGGGGTGTGTGTTACGAGTGATGTTCGATTTTTTTCGTAAAACTTCAAGAGCGACCTCGGATGAACTGAAAGTTAGACGGAAGGGGCGGGGTTTATTCAACTCTATTATTTTGCCTAGTCGAATCCCAGACACAATTTGTTCTGCGGAATCAGGTGCGATATGGAGAAGCAAATTTTTGGCATAGCTAAGATCCTCAGATGCAGTATTTTCAGGAATTCCCATGATCAGAACATTCTTCTCGCGTTTTATTCTTTCAGAGCTCTCGACCACGACTTCCTCGGATGACAGATGGGATTGGTTGTTGAGTTTGTCTTCTAATGCCGTGATTTTACCACGAAGTTCTCGATTCTCGGAATGTAGAGAAGATATGTCTTCAAGGCAGCTGGCTAAGGTTAATGATTGGGCAGACAGAGTGGCGCTGAGATCCTCAATTCTATTGTTACAAGTAGCCATTGAATTAGATAAAATTGCGAATTGGTCCATAATGGCTCGAAATTGATCATTGTTAATCTGCAGGGATGCACGAGAAGAGCTTTTACAATCATCACATGTCCAGACGAACGGCGTCGATGAAACGTCGACGGGCCATCCTGACGAAGATCGAGCACACCTAGCATGGCTGCGGCGTTTACATACTGAGCAAAACACTTTGATTTCGCTATCACCGTCGGTTAGAATCTCCGTGCACAGATAGCAAGCGGTGGTGGTGGGAGGGGACATGCTTGCTAGCATGCCACAATATCAAAATATAAACAATGACGATTCTCTTTGAATAATGAAAAGCAGGAATTTGCTTTCCAGGATTGGAATAACTTGAAATAGGTAGTTAATAGTTCTGCACAGGTCACTTACTCTGTTTGATTATCTCACAGACTTCAGGTATAGGCAATAACTAGTAGATACACTGTAATTTCACGAACGGTTGCAGGCTGGTTTAATATACGTGTGTACTGAACGAGGTGCGGAACCAAACTCCAGCTTATTACCAATCAATAATCCTAGACCCCGTTTCTCTTCTATCCCATATCGAGGTGAAGTCTCCCATGATAACACCAATAGTTATATATATAGTTGTTATACTTCTGAAACTATTACTAGACACCTTGTTAGCATCAAAGACAAAATCTCTTGAACCTAAATCAGGTGTATTAAAAATTTATTTTTCCGAACCTAACTGCGACGCTCAATATATCGGTCAAATTGGTAGACAAATCATTTCAAGAGTTACTGAGCACAAAAAACTCATTGAGAAATCTGAAAATTCAGAACTAGATGGATATAATACTAGTGGTTCATTTGCTAATTATATCCTCAATTCCCAATATAGATTTAGTATGATGAAAATGTACTGCATGACTTTTTTCAATTCATTGTATTATGTTCAGGTATTTGGATGTTTTTTCCTACCTTGGCCTTCATTCGATCGTCAAATTCCGAAAACAACCTTCCCGTCAATTCCGACTTCGTTGCAATTTCTACTGTTAGTTTATCAACCTATCACACTCTCTGTTAGTTGGTCAACCTTGCACACTTATAGTAATAATTTCCTCTGTTACTTGTCATTTCTCCTTCTGATATTTTGACACTTCGTCAATTTGAGTTTCCTACATTATTGTAACTTGTGGTATCATGCATCTGACAGATAACCTTTTCTTCACTCATGTTGCGGATGATTTCGTTTTTCGTGAAAATTTATTGTAAAATAGTTATTTATTATACAAGGGAAAAAAGTAGTAGATTTAAGCTCAGCGGAGGGAGACAACAAACCGTGAGCTGAAATCTAATATTTTTCCCGTCTATACTATTTCTTTCTGTGATAGAAGCAAAGACGAATCAATATTGAGAATTTATTACATTATTTCGAAATCTGAAAATTATCGACGCGAAATTGCAAGTTTTCAACAGTAGGGACACCGCGTTGTAGGCATCTTTATCATTCATTTGAAGTAATCAAATATCTCATGTCACTTCTGTCAGTCTAATTCTGTGATTTGACATCAAAAAATTGCGAATTCAGTGGTTGTTTAGTTAATATACGTAACCGCGAAGTCGAATGGAAGATAAAAGGATATGCAGTTCTTTCTCGGAGACGGTATTATTGACTCATTTTTTGGAACTATAGCACAACAAAAGCCATCAACAGTGTATATATATGTGATATATTACCGGGAGAAATGTACTCACTTTTTTTCCACGGGAAAAAGTAATTTATGAAAAGTGACATTTCAAAACCTGCCAACAGGAATGCAATGTCAAACTTTTTTCCCGTCACAGAAAAAACATGTTATTTCCACTACAATTTGCCGAACTTCAATAAGATGGTACAGGACCATCTGATAAACAATTCCTGCACTCAATTTTCTCATTCTAAATTCAAATTTTCACTATCACCTACATTCAAAGTGGAATTTTTTCATCCATATAAGGAATTTATAATCTTGCTACTCGAAATATTCTCCTTCCAAGTATTGTTGTGGGATTTTCAATATTTTTGGCTGATGATTGGTTGATGGGTGGAGCCTGAAACACCTTTCATTATAACACTTCGTCATTAAAAATCGTGGAGATGACTTGGAGATGCCTTCTTCATGAAACTCTCGATAATTGAACGAATTAACCATCATAATTAAACTATTTTTCGACAAGAGGATACAGTGTAAGATCCAATTGTTGCAGTGTGCGAAAATTCAAGAGGTGATTGCATCGAACTGATAAAGAGTTAATGGTCGTAGCTATAAAAACTCTGAAATCCTTTATGCCCATCTAAAGTTTATTCCAATTCTATCCAAGGATACGTGGAATGAATTTGGATCGGTTTCGAATGGAAAAATAAATCCATGATACTCTGAATTCATTGATGAATGCAATTATAATTTCTACTTTCCAGGTGAACTAGCTGAAGCAGTGAGAAGGAGAAATATCACGTTTGGACTCTATCACTCTCTATTCGAATGGTTTCATCCCATTTACCTTTCCGATAAAGCGTCAAATTGGACAAAAAAAGAATTTGTGACCAACAAAATAATTCCAGAAATGCGTGAACTCATACAAACCTATGAACCAGCTGTACTATGGTCAGATGGTGACTGGGAAGCACCTGATTCCTACTGGAATTCTACTGAGTTCTTGGCTTGGCTGTATAATGATAGCCCTGTGAAGGATTCCATCGTTACTAACGATCGGTGGGGTATTGATATACCTTGTAAACATGGAGATTTCTTCAGTTGTCAGGATAGATATAATCCAGGTGAGTTATGCACTTCATAGTTCATGTGAATATGAAACTCGGGATGTAGGTATCTCTTTTCAATGATAGTTCAGCAAGACAAAAATCAGCCAGAGATTCTTTGAAAAAGTGTATCTAGGTCTTCTCTGATTCTACAGATTTCATTGTAATGATTTATGCTTCCTGATTTTTTATTTGCCACAACAAATATATTCAATTAATGAGAAATCTGTTTTGTTTGATCAACCATTCTATATGGACTGATGTTGACTAGCTAATTCGTCCAACGGTAGGTGCGTATAAAAACTGAGGTGAGCCTCTGTTTATAAGAAGATACTCATAGAAAGCATATAAATTGATACTCTCAGATATGCAATTAGAAATCTGACCTGAATACAGCACACTTTCCCCTCTCTGAAGAGAGAAGAGAATGCCTCAGGTTGTAGAGAGAGGAGATAGGTATAGGATTTTTTTCCAACTTTTGGAGATGATGAGTTCTTAGTGATACTTCCTTCGGCAAATTATTTCAATGCTCTGTCGTTCCATCAACCAACGAGTTTGGGTGGAGATTCGTTAGACATATCTCAAGGTCTGACGACGAAGGGATGTGCTGACTATCAATGGAATTTATTATAAGAGATAATAAAATAACCAATGGAATATCAAGAGGTTTGGAGCTTCCGGAAGATGAAGAAGCATTCTTCAAGACGAATGTGTGATATTTTCTGCAATTAATTCGACATTGAAGTTGTTTTTTGACCAACCAACCGTTTTTTTGTTTTGTTGATAATACCTTTCATTTTTAGGAACTCTCCAACTCCATAAATGGGAAAATGCGATGACAATAGATAAACAATCTTGGGGATTCCGTAGAAATGCCAAACTATCTGACTATTACAGTACTCTAGAATTGATAAGTCAATTGGTGTCAACTGTCAGTTGTGGAGGTGAGATCGTATTATTTTATTCATGATAATTATCCTAACGTAAGTCGGAAATGCCCTATTTACATCAGATATCTGAGCCGGAAATATCCTGAATAGTGTTTTAACCCACAAAATCTTCCATATTCAGTGGATTTCATTATTTCAGATATGAAACATCAGTTGGTACATTCAGTGTGTTCAGAGTGTAGGATTCGAAATATCTATAGCCGGAATGTCGCATCCAAATTCATAGATGTGCTTCTATTCTCGATTCGTATTAAATCGTATGAATTTTTGTTGCTTCTAACATTATCATATGAAAATGATAGTTTCATTGTGTGTCATATAGAATTTATGATTGCTCAAAATTACTATCTAATCCAACTTTTTTTGATGCAATATTGCTGTTGAAAATTTTTCAGTATGAAGCCGTGCATTATGAAATCACTAATGTCTAGCTGAATCTTCGTGCCTACTGCGATAATATTTTCGAATTGTAAAATAGCTTTCCATATCAAGGTTAGTAGATGAATTCATATAGCAAAGGAACTAAGTGTGGAGTTTGTAGCCCGACACGAAGCGTGGGAGGAACAATAAAATGTCTTCAGCATGCATCCATCCCGTCGGTATCCCAATAAGATCTGTGCAATCTCAGTTATCACCAATACTTTCATGAGACATTTAACAAATACGTTTTTGAACTTCAATGATCTCATTCAGATCCTCGAATATATAAGGGATATCCTTTCTTGCGCTCCAAGGGAATCAAATAATAGGTAACCTACATAATCAGAAATTTTCAATGCAATTACACGAAATTCAAATTAATAACGACGAAAGCGTCAAATCGATTTCCGTTCAGTTTCAAATTCCGTCCATAGCATACTGAACTTTTCTGACAAAAATTGAAGGCCAAGAAAGTGGAAGAGGATGATTGAGCCTTTGAAAACATCTAGTGGCAAGAGTCCAGAGGTGCATAACTGGATTGTTCAAATAACCATACCTTGCGAGTGATCGAACACAGACCCACAGACCCCTTACGTCATAGAGAAAGAAAATAATGTCACAATCCTGCGGATTAACGCAACACCTGTGAATCTCTCAGTGGTTCAATATATCATCAACAGATGATGAGTCATTTGAAATATCAAGACTTCAAGAGAAATCCCATGAATCGATTGTCAGTTGACGCAAGACAAACTCTTTCGGCTTGCCAAAAGTTTTATCAGTTGCACTAGGTAAGCTAACAATCGATTCACAAATGGTAGTTCATGTGGCACAAAGCAAAGCTTGAATGAAAAAAAAAAACTACCCATTCTCTAGAGCCATCAAGTGGCACGAAATTACCCTAAAACCTCTCAGTTTTGAGATTTTAGGTTCCTCATCTTTTGTTGGTGAAATAGAGACATTATCCTCATAACAAATACTCGCCAATTTGACGTTCATTTGCACAAGAGTTCGTGATATACTTCAATGACCCTTGAGAGGGGTAGATGTTAGCCTAGAATTTCAAATGGAAAGGGCAGGGGTCAAATGGCGAATTGTTTCGAAGGTGATTGTTTTTTTGCGAATATCAATTTTAGAAAAATACTGTTCTAAACTTACAGAAGTGATTAGAACCCGACTCCACTGAGTTTTCATATGAGTATTCGAACAGAAACTATTGTTCTGGAGTAGTTTGTAGTTCACTATACCTTTCGAAAGCGAAAATGCAGGAAATCCTAGTTCAAAAGGTTTGACATATGTTTCGACCATTCAAATGGTCAAAATCAGTCATCGTGCTCAAAGCAAATCTACAAAGAAGAATCCTACTCATCATCGAGATGAATATGACATATAAGTGAAAAAATATGAATATGGAATTGTACAAGCAAAATTTGGATTATGTGTTACTGCGAAAACATCTAGAATCTGATCAAACCTGTTGAATGAGTACAAGATTATATAGAGAATAATCATTTGCCATGAAAATTGTGTGTTGTGAAAGTGAACAGTAACGGATATCTTCGAAAAACACAATTAAAATCTATTCAAACTCTTTACTACTATTGTTGAATCAGTTTTATTTGTTGAGCTGTTCACTGATACCTTCAATGAGTGAATAAACTGTGCCAATGGTTCAAATTCTCCGAAGAAGAATAGATATTATTTCAATTTATGGAAAGATTGGAAAGTGCGCACGAAGGGGTAGCATTTTCTGAATAAAAAAAAAATCGAAATTGTAATATTGAGTCACTGGTATGTGCTTGATTAGGTGATAAAGTTCCACGAAACTGGTTCTGTCAAAAATAAAAAAGAACTAACCCGGGAGTACTGCATGAAGATGGTCAAATTGAAGTTCTGGGAACATTCAAACAGATCTCACAAGCTCCTTACAATCAGTACCAGAACAGACGAAAAAGACACGCGAGACCGTAGGAAGAATGCATAAATGCCAACTATATAATATGCAGATGCTCAAGAGCTCACGAGGATGATTATGATAGAAGACAGACAAAATGCTCGCGATAAGAGTGACAAAACCTCTCACATATCTCGAGAAGGAAATACACAACACCTTCAAAAAGTTATTGTGTGGGCTGGCATTCTTGAAAATGCCATTATTGGTCGTTGATTTACTTTTCCAGGATGATATGATACATTATCAGCAGAACGGTGCTCCACTTCATTATGCTATTTCTGTCCGACAAAGGTTGAACGAGAGATTCCTAATTAGATAGATATCTTCCTCCTCTTCCTATGGATTGGCAGGAGGAGAGAAAATAAGTGGCCTCCGCAATCACCAGACTCAACTCTTTTAGATTTATTTGGTGACATTTTGAATCCGTTGCTTATAGAACACAATCTGCTGATATTGATAGACTTGAAACACGAATCACAGCATCATGCCGGACAATTCTTCGTGAAGTTTACGGAAAAGTGAGATGAATTTTAGAACAGATTTCATTACTGTTCAGACCAGAATGACAACATCAGGAACATTTCATAATATAAGTACGTTGAAACCGAAATTTTACTCTTGCAAAGTGGAAGTTTTTTTGGATGAAAACGCCCATCGAAATGTTCTCACGTGACCATCTTTTCCATCTGAAGTTCTGATGGTCACATCTAACTCTCCTTGTTTGTTGAACCTTGAAATATTGATTCGGAGTGCTTCAATTGATAATAAAATCGACCTGCCCTCCACTATTCCTTATTTTAATTACTGAGAAGGATATATTGAGAGTGGAAATTTTTCAAACTGCTGGTTTCAGTTCTTTACTTGAATGACTTCAACCCGTCTTTTTTATTCGAATTCGAAATATTTACAAATAGATTTCGCAATTTCCTCAAGCTTGCAGTGTCCGAACAAAATTATGCGTTTCGCCTCGAACTACCATGAGCACTCGAAAACTATATCCAGAACGTTTCAGAAAGTAGGTTGAGTGATAAAATCGCTGTGACCCTCATGTTTTATGCAGAATAAAGTATCAGAGCATGAACAACATCAGTGTTCAGTGTTCAGATATCAAAGCAGTGAATGTAATACGGAAAATGTAACCTGCATAAAGTCACATACTAACTCAGGCATAGCGGAGCTGGTACTGCGATTCATAATTCTAAATTCTTGTAATCTGCTGATGATGGGCTCATATAAGCCCGAAACATGTATGCCTGCGTGATTCATATCTGACAATTCAAATAAAAGTTTGGGATTTGACTTCAGGAATTTTCCATTCGGAATTATACGACTCCACTTTGAGTTACCATGGACTTCTTCCAAAGATTATACTTTGGAATATTGTCAAAATCCATTTCAGGATAAAGTTCTTTACTGGAACGTCATGAAAAAATTATGAATATTTGCACTTACTTCTTGTTCAGTAGCAACCTCATATTTTATAGTCGACTGATGGTTTTTATCTCAATGAAATTACTTGATCAGAACCAGTCTTATCAATTCTTATCAGTTATCTATGCTACTATCGACACCATACTTTGAGATATTTTTCCACGAATCCTCCGGTGAATTTTATTCCAAAGAAAGCGCTGCTGGATCGAAGAGAAAATTATGAATACTTATCCGTATTCACTTTTCGCCCAGTAGCAAACTGATATTTTATATTTTGAATTGACTCGGCCCTTACTTGGTGAAATGGCAAATGTTAAAACTTCACAGACGATAAGATTTTCACAAAATTCTCAATCACATGACATGTTTCGCTAACACAGTAGCTGCATCAGATAAAATACTGGTACAATTAACAGTTCATTGTACCAGTTTTTCACCTGATGAAGTTACTGTGTTAGCAAAGCATGTCGTGTGATTGAGAATTTTGTGGAAACTTTATCGTTCGTGTAGTTTCTACATTTGATATTCTATAATCGGTTGATGATTCTTATCCTAATGAGAAACCTGTTCAGTACCAGGGATATCAAAACCAGATATCAATTTCAATTCTTGAATATGACGAGTACCTACTGTTAAGATGACATTTCTATTTCAATATCGGGAAAACATTCCATACTTCTGGCTCAGATTGAAAATAAGACATGTTTTCCTGCAGTCTTCATGTCATCGCAACGTCAGGTACGTGAGAGGTTTCTCTGATCCACTGGTTGCACAAGCTCTTGAACAACTGTGATCTTGATTGATTTCTCCAACTCAGGTTTTGATGTTTTTATGAATAAGTACCAGATTTTATGTTTTTTTTTCGCAGGAAATCTCTTGATGAATGTTGGTCCAACAAAAGAAGGAATTTTGGCACCTATATTCCAACAACGTCTCAAGGAGTTAGGAGACTGGTTAGTAATAAATGGGGAAGCAATTTATGGATCCAAACCATGGAGCACGCAGAATGACAGTTTGGATTCAAGTGTATGGTATACCGCTAGTAAAGATGATAATGTTGTATATGCTATTTCTCTGCATTGGCCCTCTGAAAATATCCTGACATTGGGTTCCACCCAAGATATTTTCAGATATACTGATACTGTTATATATCTACTTGGAAATGAAGAGGATGGTGTTCTCAATGTAAGTAATCATCAAAATATAAATACTTATATATAAGCATGTCATTCAGAAGCAAACATTGTATTGTCCCCATTCAGAATCACAAATAGTAATGAATGCTATTCAAATTATATTCGCTCAATTTTAATACAACAAATCTCCGAAGGCTGAAGAAATTCCAGTAGCTCGATTCCAGAAAGGAATTGAAAAATCATTTCTGGATTCATCGCAATGTATCAACCAAATTTGTTTCCATCTGTGAGAGGCTTCCGATAAAGCATTGTCGAGTTTTGGATTTTTGTAGATAGTGTTCCGTTTGGTCTGAGTACTTCCATCGCTAGCCTCATGAAGGGCTCAAATGAGGTTTCAGGTTATAATCCAATGCATATTTTCAACTGGTTACATTGAACGTAACAGAGTTCGGAATCATTTTTTCTTAGAGTCAATGGAAAGACTACTTGCGTACCATAAGATCATATGTAGAGCAGTGCAGATTTTTCTCAGATCGTTTGAACTGAATGAAATTTGAAAGAATACAGAGTGAGACAGGAAACTTGAGCCAAATGAAATATTTGAACGAACATGAATGGAGTTAGCTGAAAATCAGAGTCAGGTGAAACAACTAAAATGGCATATACTTCTAACCCTTTAGAATGCCAATGCCCAGGTTGATCTAACATACAAGATATTCAACAATCGACAGCTGACGTATGACGATTGACATATTATATATGCTGTTGATGATACATCCAGTTTTCACTGAAGGCGAATAATCTTCGTTATGAGAATTGAGAAACATATACAAGGTGAATCGAAGTTAAAATCACAGTCAAACTCATATGACTCAGCTAACCAATCAGAGAAGACTATGACATATTTGAGGTATGCCTCGCTGAAATCAAACACTCTATAAAGAATTCCAATATTCAAAATGAATAATTTCACGTGGTATATTTGACGTTTCATATCAGATGATGAACTATGACGCGCGGTGATATAACGACACTATGGGATGAATGTCTATATCAAGCAATAACAAAGAATATTATGAGAAGAGATCACATACTGCTACAATGAAGTAGAACCCAGAACTCAGTTTATTGTACCAGTATTTCACCTGATGAAGCTACTGTGTTAGCGAAACATGTCGTGTGATTGAGAATTTTGTGGAAATCTAATCGTATGTGGAGTGTTTACATTCAAATGAAGATATGTGAATTATTTATACACTCTCACTCATAATGCTAAACATTTGACATCAAACGAACTCGACAAGCCCAGACAGCATATCATTTCGTCAAACATCTCTTCACCATAACTCCTTTTTCTATAGAACAATAAACTTTCACCAAGGAATTCTTCATGAGGAAGTAATAAGTAGAATTGCCTGCACACTTCGCCATTAGACTTGAGAAGACGGCTTTGGATTTTTTCTCTTTGATCATCCTCCTCCACTTCGAGCATGGACAACTTCAGAAGATTCTTCCTGAGAAGTTTTAGAATATAAAATGAAACTGTCAATCATAATACTACTAGACTAATGATGATAAGGTGACGAAGGTGAAACTGAAAACATAATATGTGGGACCATTGAGGAATTGTACATCACGAAACATCTGTTATCCTATAACTTTCATTCATCATCCAGACATGAATCAATTAACTATATATGAATCAAATCTACGCCATCTGAGCATGGACATTCTTGAAGAACTCAACAGGCAAGACAACACATCTTTTCGTCGTCAAACTCAGAATATGTTGAACAACTCTTTATCAAAACACGTTTTCTTATTGAACGATAAAACTCCACTTGAAGAATTATTCTCAGAATCTTCGAAAACAGGAAGTTACCACATGCGAGCAGGAACAATATAAATCATTTCGATAAATACCTGAGAGATTTATGAAAACATTGAACAGAAAAAAATACACCATTTCGATACACATTTCCTTACTGAAAATAACACTCGCGAAATCCACAATTGACACTCACGAAAATCACTGAACAGAGAAAAATTTGACACTTCAGAATAATTTCAGCTCCTAAAAGGCAGTGTTTAAAATCGAAGTAATGAATAGAAATGAAGAATGATCGATACAACAAAAGAATGAAACCATTCATTCCTTATTTTTGAATGCGAAATTCGATAATAAATAGATGACAACCTCATGAACCCATTTTTATATCCAATATACAACTGAATGCATGTGGAACTAGAAGCTCGCGTGAATGATATCCGGGCATCTTGATAACGACTTCCGTATTTCCTTCGATTATTATAATTTTTTACTTCATAGGAAATTATTGAGATGAAACGTAGCTAGGAATCAAACATATAATATCCATTTTTTGAATTGACTCGGCCGTTACTTGATGGATATCCATGGCAAATGTAAAAACTTCACAGACGATGATATTTTCACAAAATTCTCAAAAACACGACATGTTCGCTAACACAATAGCTTTGTCAGGTGATTGTACCAGTAAATCACCTCACGAAAACCATCACAATTGGAATATCATTTCATAACACGAAATGAGGATGAGGCACCATCTCTTTAAAATATCAGAACGGAAACATCATGCCAACTATCAGTAAAAATTGTTCAACAAAAATAGAGAGACTAGAATGAATATTGCCCAGCTTCATCGCGATAAAAAATAATTGAGATGAACCATTCTTTCGACCTGAGATATAACAGACACAATCTCAAGCATCAAACCAGTCGTCTAGTAGGTGATGCCACACCTACATATTCTTTAGCATTATTGAAACACCACTGTCACTCAGAATATCAGTCAAACGGACTCAGCAAGCCCAGTCAACACACCAATTCATCGTCATCCTGGAAGTATATCGAACAACCCATCAAAAAACTCGTTCCATGGTAGAATGGCAAAGCATCACCAAAGGAAGTGTTTCTAAGATCTCCAAATGTTTATTATCTCACGTCCTCTTCCCCTATCCTTCCTAGGCATGCGCGATTTTCTTCGAACATCATAGGGGCTCTCATTCCTGCGCCAAGATATAAACCTATTGCAGCACCAAAATATTGAACAACATAATGCGAATATGAATTAACATCGTCGACAAAAATATTCAAACAAGCTATCATGCATAACAGAGAATCATATCTCTTTTATCAGGTGAAATGTCAACCAACTTCATGAATATAAAATGATCACGAGGCACCATTCTTCTCATCCGAAATGAAGATACCATATTTTGCTCATTATGAACAAACAAATACATTCGAGCCATATATGGGAAATATCAGATCCATTACGAAATCTGCTCCACAAGAACTCCTAAATTTCTTCTGGCAATGGTGATGCCACACTAATTCTTCAGCCTCATTGAAACATCACTGAATGTCGGTGACCTTCCACTTTTGCATTGATACTCTCACATTTCCTGAAGTGACCGTCAAGGGTCAAACGTCTCACACGATATCTGGCAAGTTTCATGTATCATACATCCTCTTTAACGTTGGCCATTTTAACAATGCTCTTAAAATATGTTTCATTTTATTCCCTAGAATATTGAGACTTTACCTTATCAGTATGTATATATGATCTTCCTCCGACTCTATCGTAGTAAATAAAAGAAATACGTATTTTGAGCCTGGTATGACGATAGTTTTCGTAACAAAACTACAGTATCCTTCTGGCGCATCTATTCCATGACGTCAGTTTTCGGAGAAGAAGAAGTATCTATTCGCGCATATTCGCACTTTTTTCGTCAGTATTATTGGGAAAGCCTCATTCTAGCACAATGGGCAATAACATAAATCTCCTGTTTCGCTCATTCTTCTCTAATGTTTGTTGATATGTCACAATCATTTTTGCGATTTTCAGTAATCAATTGTGTGTGGAAGTGGTCGATTCTTCTATAGTTCAGTGTTTGGAGATAGATTCCTCAGGTATTTATCGAAATGATTTCTATTTTTCCTGCTTGCATGTGTTTTGATGAAGAGTTGTTCGACATATTCTAAGGTTGACAAAGAAAAGATGTGTTGTCTGGGCATGTTGAGTTCTTCCAATGTCAAATATTGAGCATAATGAGCATAGAAATATAGGTTATTCTCTATTCATTTCATTCGATACCTACAGAATTTCTGAACTGTGTGTATGTGTAATTTGATTATCTGCGAAGAATCCTTCGCTTAGATGGTGTAGATTTGATTCATATCTGGATGATGAATTGAAGTTCTAGGATTATAGAAGTTTCGCGTTGTACAGTTTTCCTATTCTTCTTAAGTATTCAGTTCCACCTTTTATACATTATTATCATCATTAGTCTACTAGTATCATGATTGATAGTATATTTTCATGTACTCAAACTTCTCAGGAATAATTCCTTTGCTAAAGCTTTGTTGTTCTTCAGAAAAAGGAGTTTTGGTGGAGAGATGTTTGACAAAAGAATACGCTGACTGCACTTGTCGCGTTCGTTTGATGTCAAATGTTCAACATTATGATTGAAAGTGTAGAAATATAGTTTGTCCACATATTTTCATCTGACTATTTCTCTTTGATTTTATTGTCGATATCTGGTGAATTTTTAGAGATTATATATGAATATATCTGAACTTTTTTCATAGTATTGCTTGATATATGAAAATATGATTCGAAATATCGAATATATCACGTGGAATGCTCAATTTCGAATAGTTGCATTCTATATGGAGTGTCTGATCTCATCGTGGTATACGTCAAAAATGTCATAGTTTTCTCTAATTGGTAAGCTGAGTCATGTGACTTTGACTGTTATTCGAACTCCGATTCGCTCTGTATATGTTTCTCAACTCTTATAACGAGGAGTGTTGCATATGGCGAGCACCGGAAGTATCATTAACATAATATATAATCTGTCGATTGTGATACTTCGATTATTATATGGTACACTTTTGTTGAACCTGGACATTGGCATTCTGAAGGTTATGAGTATATGTCAGTCTAATTTTTTTATTTGCCTATGATTTTGGCTCATTCTGTATATGTTTGTTCGAATATTTCA